TCCAGAGCTCCTCCCTCTTGGTGCCTCACCCCAGGGCTTCCCTTCTCTGTGCTCTGGCCAGAAATCCCAGCCAAGTTGGGACACTATTGAAAGTAGAAGGGGCCGTTAAATAATCAATAGGTGTCACCTGCAGGTAAAAATCAGAACTACCACTGCCTGGCCAGAGTGGCTCAGTGGTTGAGCGTTGACCTAGGAACCAGGAGGTCACGGTTCGATTCCTGGTCAGGGCATGTACCTAGATTGTAGGCTGGATCCCCAGTGGGAAGTGTGCAGGAGACAACTGATCAATGATGGTCTCTTATCACTGATGTTTCTATCTTTCTCCCACTCTGAAATCAATATATATATATAATTTTAAAAATCAGAACTTCTTCCGACAAACCATGGCACACAGAGTTAACTGTTAAGGAGTCAGTAAAGCAAGGATGTTGAATAAGAGTACGCATTTGTGTGGGGGGAGAGTAATAATTGCAAATGTTCATATGAAGCTTATATATATATATATATATATATATATATATATATATATATATAATTGATTTTTTACAGAGAGGAAAAGAGAGGGATGGAGAGTTAGAAACATTGAGAGAGAATCATCCATCGGTTGCCTCCTACACACTCCCTACCGGGGATGTGCCCACAACCAAGGTACATGCCCTTGACCGAATTCAAACCTGGGACCTTGCAGTCCACAGGTCGACGCTCTATCCAGAGCCAAACCGATTTCTTTATATTTTTTCTTTATATTTGTATTGATTTCAGAGAGGAAGGGAGAGGGAAAGAGATATAAACACCGATGATGAGAGAGAATAACTGATTGGCTGCCTCCTGCATGCCCTCTACTAGGGATCAAGCCGGCAACCTTGGGCATGTGACTCTGACCAGAATCGAACCCAGGACCCTTCAGTCCACAGGCTGATGCTCTATCCACTGAGCCAAACCGGCTAGGGCTGAAGCTTTATTTATGAAGTTATATTTGATGGCAACCTCACAACCTCGTGGAGGAGTGAGCCATGTAGCTATCTGTAGATTCCTAGGATGCGCTTTCCAGAAAAAGAGAACAAGTGGAAAATTCCTGGAGGGCCGTCAGTGGTGGTAAACACTTGCTGGGAGCCAAAGCTCTGACTTCCCTGTGCAGTGTACCTGGTGTTCCTGGGACCTGTCCCTGGCTAGGATATGAGGATGCCATGCACGGGGGATTTTTCCAGAAGGTAGTGGTCCCTTCAGGCTTCTAAGCCTGCAACCATCTGTGTAGTTTGTGAGGACTGCTGCCAGAATTCCCACAGAACTGTGCCTAAAGCTGCCCCCTGGCATGGTGTCTTGCCTGTCTCATGTCCTTCAGTGTCAGACATGACCTAGCCAGGTCCTGGGAGTTTAAATGTGCAGCTGTGATGGATGTCATGCATGCACTTGGCAGTGTCTTCAGAGATGGCACAATTCCACCTTAATACCAAAAAGGCACAGACGTGGCTATCAAAAGGATATGAGATTAGAACCAACCAAGATAAATAAACCTTTAAGAAATGGCTAAGACCCTTAAAGGTATCAGTGAAGATTAGGGCAGAGAACAGCAAACAGACAGACAAAGGAGGGTATTCATTCATGAAAGGATTGAACTTAAGTCAACATTTTTACCAAATTTAGTCATAGAGGAGCAAGGCATCATGGTACAGAGGGGGAAGCTGGATCTCACTCTGGCTACGCAGCTTTGGATAAGGCCATCCCTGCTTGTATGGTAGAGGGTAGGAGGGGCCAATAAACTGTGCTTCCCATCAGCCCCTGCTGTTGCTTCTCACAAAACTACTGTTAACCCCAGAAAATGAAATGCTGTAATCATTAACACCATAATTACATTTTCTTCGTAATCTATTCTCAGGGGGAAAAACCTTAAATACAAAAAAAAGCCCTATGTAAAAATGTAAAGTGAATTCTTTGTTACTTAAATAGAGAAAACAATTAAAAACCACCCAAATGTCTGTGAACCACAGTTACTACATTAGACTTCTACTATGAAACTAGTATGTTACTGTAATAGCACTACATAATAAGTAAATTCCATGTTAAGTAAAGAATGGGATAAAAATAACAGGAAAAAATTTTAAAGTTATTTAAAAAACTATGCATAGCTTTGTCCGGTGTGGCTCAGTGGATAGAGCGCTGGCCTGCAGACTAAAAGGTCCCAGGTTCGATTCCGGCCAAGGGCACGTACCTTGGTTGTGGGCACATCCCCAGTAGGAGGTGTGCAGGAGGCAGCTGATTGATGTTTCTCTTCCATTGATGTTTCTAACTCTCTATCCCTCTCCCTTCCTCTCTGTAAAAAAAAACAATAATATATATTTAAAAAATAAAAATAAATACAACAACTATTCATAGAAAAAGAAATGGAAGACAATGTTAAGGGAGACTACAATTGAAACTTAAAATCTTTTCCATTTTCTAAAACAAATCTCGGTTTTATCATGCAAAAATAGTTAAATTTCAGTTACATTTCCGACATATCTGTTACTCAGTATCGAGTTTTGTAGTTAATCCTTTTCCCCTCTCTAGGTATATTATACTTATATTCAGATTATGCTTGAAAATATATCAATTCAGGTTGGCTACGTTATTCTGAAAATGTAAATCATTACGATGAGAAATGATCTGGCTGAGGCAGAATTTAAATGTCTTTCTTTTCCTTAATTAACAGAGCCTAACACCATTCCTCAACATACTAGGTATCCCAGCTAATAAAGAGGGCACATGCAAATTGACCGCCACACCGTAACAAAATGGCTGCACCCACAGCAGAGGCTGAGTTCCCTAAGGAGCATAAACAAGCAATCAGCAGGGACCCGAGACTGCGTGGCACTGGGCCAGGGCAGGGGACCTGAGGACACCCCCCCCCCCACCCAGCGGGGCTAGACAGGGGACCTCAAAGCCTGCCCCCTGCCCCGGTGCCAAGCTGGGGGACCTCAGGCCACGCCTGCCCCCCAACACCAGGCCGGAAGACCTGCGGCTACACCCCCATCTGCAAGGCTTGATGGGGGACCTCGAGACGCACTCCCTGCACTGGCCTAGGCTAGGGGAACTCAGGCGGTGCCCAACACCCCAGCACCAGGCCAGGGTCCTGAGGCCGCACCCGCCACGTGGCAGGGCTTGACAGGGGACCTGAGATCGCACTCCCCACCTGGCAGGGCTTGACAGGGGTGGGGCCGGCTGGGTCTGGGTCTCTCAAGATTTCAAGGTACACGTGGGTGGGGACTTGACTCTGGTTCCTGTGGCACGCCCTAGATTCTGACAGGAGGAAGATTTTCATATACGTTTTACTAAGTTTCTCTCATCTCTGACACTTCTATTACAGAGAAAGGGCGAATAGCAATATTAAAATATTTCCTCTAGCCAAAACCGGTTTGGCTCAGTGGATAGAGCGTTGGCTTGGGGACTGAAAGGTCCCGGGTTCGATTCCGGTCAAGGGCATGTACCTTGGTTGCGGGCATATCCCCAGTGGGGGGTATGCAAGAGGCAGCTGATCGATGACTCTCTCTCATCGATGTTTCTAACTCTCTATCTCCCTTCCTCTCTGTACAAAATCAATAAAATATATTTTTAAAAAATATTTCCTCTAATTAATTCCCTTTTAATGTGCATGAATTTCATGCACCGGGTCAAGAGTGTGTGCGCGCGCGCGCGCGTGTGTGTGTGCTAGAGGCCCGGTGCACGAAACTCTGCACCCTCTCCAATCTGGGCTCCCTCTCACAATCCAGGACTGCTGGCTCCTAACCACTTGCCTGACTGCCCCTAACCACTTCTGCCTACCAGCCTGATCATCTCCTAACCACTCCCCTGCCAGCCTGATGAACGTCTAACTGCTCCCCGGCCAGCCCAACTGCCCCCTAACTACCCTCCACTGCCAGTCTGGCCCTCCCCTGCAGGCCTGGTCACCCCTAACTGCCCTCCCCTGCAGGCCTGGTCCCCCACCAACTGCGCTGCCCTGCTGACCTGGTCTCTCCCATCTGCCCTCCTCTGCTGGCCTGGTCACCCCTTACTGCCCTCCCTCCTGGCCTGATTGCCCCCAACTGGCCTTCCCTTGCAGACCTGGTCCCCAACTGCCCTTCCCTGCAGGCCTGGTTCCCCCCAACTGCCTTCCCTTACTGGCCTGGTCTCGCCCAATTGCCCTCCTCTGCCAGCCTGGTCCCCCCCCCCCCCCCCCCCCCCCAATTGCCCTCCTCTGCTGGGCTGGTCACCCCTAACTGCTCACAACTGCCCTCCCCTGCAGGCCTGGTCCCCCCCAAATGCCCTCCCCAAATGCCTGGTCCCCGCCCCCCAACTGCCTTCACCTGCAGGCCTGGGTCACCCCCCCCCCCCTCAACCGCCCTCCCTTACTGGCCTGGTCTCCCCAAACTGCCCTCCTCTGCTGGCCTGGTCACCCTAACTGCCCACAACTGCTTCCCCTGCTGGCCATCTTGTATCCCCATGGGGGCAGCCATCTTTGACCACATGGAGGTGGCCATCTTGTGTCTTGGAGTGACAGTCAATTTGCATGTTGCTCTTTTATTAGATAGGATTTCTAAAGAGCTGTGTCTGTTCTTATTGCCTGGAATACCCAAAAATTCATTATTTCCATTTTCATGGACTTAAACTAAGAAAGATCTGAGCAAATCATTCCAGTACTAATATTACCAAAAACATTTTGTACCAATATTCTTACCATAGTAAAGTTTGGAGAAAAGTAGCACTTTTAATATTGCAATATGTTTATAAACCTCAAATTCTAAAGCATGGAAATTTAAAATTATGGAAGAAAAACTGACTCAAGGAACTTTGGTACCCTGCAGATTTAATTTCTCAATTGTTTGCTTATCTGCCATCCTTCCAAAGAAATTTTATTTTTTTTCTGCAAACATCAGAAGTTCTTGGGACATGCAAGTTATATGTACAAGTAAATAAACTTTACAAGTATGTGAAAAGACCCATGTTAACTTGAGAAAGAATGACATGAAAAAGGGTGTCTGTCATGTCAGTTTTAACTTGTTTTAATAACACGAAATACAAGTACAAAACATTGTACAAGTAAGTATACTTTTTACTACTTGGAGATGGAATACATTTGTGTTTTTTACCAGAATCTGTATCACCCACTACTATTCCTATGCGGTTTTAACATGAATAAAACAAACAAACAAACAAAAAACACATAAGTCTTTTCAACCGTTGTTTTTAATCTTAATATCTTTGTTCAGCTGCTTTTGGAGAATTAAGAAATACAAAATCACCTTGGCCAAGAGTTTTGAGTGGGTAATTTTGTTATTTCATGTTGGCTGAAATCTCCCTTATGTTGGCATTGCAAAGACACTGTGCGCTGACAGAGGACAGGAAAGAGTGTTGTCTTAATAGCCCTCTTAAAAGTTCAGAAGGCAAAGGACCGTTTCCTGTAAAGTACAGAATATTGTAATAAATAACAGCAACAGAGGACCATAAAGCCCCGCATGTGCTGAAGAGCAAGTCTGCAAATATTTAAGTGAGCGTAACATCATGTAATAAAGAAAAAGTAAACTGTGCGTAAGTGTCCTGAATTCAGCCTCCATAGCATACATCGGTTTTCAGCCATTTCAATTAAGACTTTTCTTATAATAAACAAAAAAAAAAACGATGAAAGTAGCATTTACTGTGTTGTAAATGCAAATAAAAAATAAAAAATACTGCTAATTCCATAAAATATTTGGAACTAATTTTGTTTTCATAAATAAATAAAATGGTGTTGGTGTTTATCTCTTTGTAAAGTTTTAATTATCATTCTTACTGTTTTAAAAAAAAAACATTCAAACTAATGTCAACCTTTAAGAATAAACCTTGGAATATTTAAAAGAACTTGTTTGCAAAAATGAGACCACATTTTTCATTGCCAGAATTATGCTTTGTTCTTGGCGGAATCATCTTTGTTTCTTCTTTTTACGTCCCAATTATAAACCCTGGCCATATCTGCAAGAATTGTTAAAGAAAATGCAAGTGCAATTCTAAAGATAACATTTGCAGTGACTAGGTATGCACACAAATCATACACACAAAATGCTGGCGACAAGTAAGTGTTGTGAGCCATCTTGCTGTAATATCATTTGCTACGAAAATACTGGAACTAAATTCCACCGAAATGAAGTCAAGGTGTCAAATCAGCAATTGTTTAGCATCTATAATCAATTGTGGTATGACATTTAACATATATGTGCTTGACGCTGTCAACAGTTTTAAAGACAGCCCCTTATCCTAATAGGTAACATTTAAATTAATACAATAATCAATAATTTTACCTTTGCCCTTCCCTTTAACAGGCCAGTCACTCAATTTATTAAGCACAAAAAAAAAAATTATTAAGCATCTACATCTTTTCCTTTCCACAAGCAGCACCTGTGTAGGCCTTCACGTATCAAATACTTCTTCCATGGATAGTGATTTTGGCATTGTATCCACAGTCATCATCATAATCCAGGTCATCTAGATTTGCTCCTATGCTACCTTCTGGGAATTATACAGGGATTTTTTTCTCTAGATGAAGTCTTTACATTCAAGTTACACACCATCCCTGCTGTGGGCCTCAAACAGGCCCACCTTCCCTCACTCAAGCACTCAGTGCCTGCCAGGTGCTACGTACTATGGAGAAGAGAGCGAAAGCACAGCTTCTATACTTGAAGAACTCGGAGTCTGACATGAAAAACAAAAGAAGAACTATGTGCAAAGTGCTAAGTAAGCCCGGAGGAACAACAAAACACCCTGAGAGGGTCAGAAAATTCCAGAAATGTTCTGACGCTTGTGCTGAAATATGAAGGATAAACAGTAAGCCAGGGCCAAAACCGGTTTGGCTCAATGAAGAGAGCATCGGCCTGCAGACTGAAAGGTCCCAGGTTCGATTCCGGTCAAGGGCATGTACATTGGTTGCGGGCACATCCCCACTAGGGGGTGTGCAGGAGGCGGCTGATGGATGATTCTCTCTCATTGATGTTTCTAACTCTCTATCCCTCTCTCTTCCTCTCTTTAAAAAAATCAATAAAACATATTAAAAAAAAAAAAAAGTAAGCCAGGTATGGCCGCCCAGTGTGGCTCAGCAGTTGAGCGGCGACCCATGAACCAGGAGGTCCCAGTTCAATTAGCAGGCAGGGTACATGCCCAGGGCTGTGGGCTCCATCCCCAGTGTGGAAATGTGCAGGAGGCAGCCGATCACATTGTTCTCTCCCATCAAGGATGTTTCTATCTCTCTCTCCCTCTCTCTTCCTTTCTGAAATCAATAAAAACATGTTTTTAAAGTGACCCAGATAACAAGAGGATATCATTCCAGGCAGGAGGAACAAAGTGAGGAAAAGCAAAGGGCGTAGCACTCTGGGAGAGGGGGAGAGAATGGCTGATTGAGACGATCCAGAAGCTGGGCCGCCTGGGGGAGGGCCAGGGCAGTCAGTGGCAGGGCACTGGGGTCTAAGGCTGACTGGTCTAAGAATAAGGACATTCTTCTCGTTTAAGCAATGTTAAGTAGGAACACCAAAGACATCTTTGCCCTTCCCTCCCTGTCTCTTGCTAAGGAAGGATACTGACTTCAGTGGTAGTAAACTGATCTCGAAGAAAGTCAAGGTCCTCCTCCAGAGAATCCAGGTTCTTCGTGGCAGTGGTCAGATTCTTTTCCAACAATGCCTGGGCTTCATCGATATCATATTCAAGCATTACATTAGCCTGGGAGGAAGAGAGGAAGTCATGGGGATTACTGAACATTTACACAGAGCAGGGGTTGGGCAAAATCCAGCTGGCCGCCTTTTGTCTGAAGTTTTACTAAAACCCAGCTATTCTCCATGAACTGCTGCTTTCAGGCCACAGTGTCAGAGCTGAGTAGTTGTGACAGTGACCAAGAGGTCTGCAAAACCAAAAGCATTTACTCTCTGACCCTTTATAAGTGTATTGAGCCCTGGCCAGTTTGCTCAGTGGTTAGAGCGTCAGTCCTCGGACCAAAGGGTCTTGGGTTCAATTCCCAGTCAAGGGCACATACATGGTTGCAAGTTTGACCTTGGCCCAATGAGGATCAGGGTGCGTGCGGGAGGCGGCCATTCAATGTGTCTCTCACGTTGATGTTTCTCTCTCCCCCAACTCTCGCTCTGTCTCTCCCCCTCCTCCCTCCCTTCCACCCTCTCTAAAAATGAATGAAAAAAAAACATCTTCAGGTGAGGAATAAAAAAAAAAGTTTATTGACCCCTGGGTTAGAGAATTTATTTACATACATTATATCATTTACTCCTAGTAAGACAACCCTGGTAAGACAAGTTATTTTCATCTTTACAGTTAAGCAAACAGGTTGAAAGGTTAGGATGCTTGTGTTTGCATAGCTAGTTAAGTAAATGGGAGAATTAGGATAAAAACCAATATGTTTTAGATACCAAATCCTACCTTTCCATCATGACACTAAATAGTGTTACATTTGAATCCATTTAAATAGCTGTTTCTGAGGTTAAGAATCAATAATCTAAGTTTTCCAATACTTCTATGTTTGAATCAATAAGAAAAATAGCTAGCTTTTACTGTCCCCCTTCTACCTCCAACAGATAGATGTTAGGGGTGCAGGCAAGGTGACTTTCTGGGATTCTCAAGAGCTGGTGTTGCCCTACCCAGTGTGGCTCAGTGGATAGAGCGCTGGCCTGCGAAATGAATGGTCCCAGGTTCGATTCCGGCCAAGGGCATGTACCTTGGTTGTGGGCACATCCCCAGTAGGGGATGTGCAGGGGTAGCTGATTGGTGGTTCTCTCTCATCAATGTTTCTAGCTCTCTCTCCCTCTCCTTTCCTCTCTTAAAAAAAAATCAATTTAAAAAAAAAAAATATATATATATATATATATATATATATATATATATTTTTTTTTTTTTTTTTTTTTTTTTTTTTTAAAGAGCTGGTGTTACTGCCAACACTTGCGGTGCATGCACCATGGAGGGGGAAACCATACCTTTCCCAGCCCCCAACTCCTCCTATCACCTGACTTACCACCAAGCATTTCCTGAACAACTGTCCTCATCGGATAAAAGGAATTTAAAAATCACTCTCAGGATCACCGTAAGCATCCAATGAGACAACATGGAAGTGTTTGGCAAAAAGCAGGTGCTGCAAAAATACCGACTGAATAACGCAACCTGTGATCATTAGAAAACTGCATGAAAATTCACATAATATATTTAAAAACACTTCATTCGTGCCAAAAAACATCAATCATTCTGCAGGAAGTACCCTGTGCCAAGACTTTCTCCTCGGTTGAGCCACTCCTCAAACGCTGCCTTATCAGCCTCTGCACTTGACCGTCTGCTAGGCGTCTGGAGACTGCCATGCCCCAAACACAACTCCGAGTCCCCCCGCAAACCGTTAGTGCTTTGCCGCAATATGAGTTTCCTGCTCGTTGTCTTTTGACTTATGATTTCTGACCTCCGTGGCCTAAAAAAACCATTCCTGTTTCAGGGTTACAGAATAAGTCACCTCGGAATTGGCCTAAACTTTGCTGGTGTCGGCACTTTGAATATGTGATCTATATGGAACTCATCCTAGTGTGAGATGTAGGTGGGCACCAGCTGTAATCCTTACCAGAGTCCTCTGCTGTCACAGGCTAATATATGGAATCTTCTCACCCCTATCTGCTGATGGAATGTGGGTGGAGGGGAAGAGAAAGCAAGGTGTATGACCCCTAGGATTCAAGCTACTTGGTGAATAGCTGTTCCGCTCGCAGAAGTAAAACTCAACAAGTGTGGGAATAATTGTATAGAATTAAGTGTACAAACTCTGAAAATATTACGATCAACAAAAACCAGGGGGAGGAACTAAGGGACAGAGAGGTGAGTTTCTTGTGTACTAAACTGTCCACCTCTCGTAGGTCTCTCTCAGGGGTGATTCCACAAAACAGCAGCAAGGGGAAGTCCTCAGTAGGGAAAGCTGGGAGCATTACACTTGACTTTCTATCTTTATATGGGAACTTGCCTGAGCTAAAAAGACCTATGGATGGCTAGCTGGACCAGCGGTCACCAACCGGTGGTCCACGAGGTCCGAAAGGTTGGCGACCACTGAGCTAGACAATCAGGAATGGCTTGATTAGGAGACTGAGAAGAATAATAAAGGAAACATCAAAGCAAGGCCTATGAAATCATCTAAAATGGAAGTGTATGGCTTAAAAATTGAACTCCAGCCTCAAGGTTGTTTTAATAATAATCTCCCCACACACACACTAAGTTTAGAGTGATCTCTCTAGAACTTACAAACTCCTATTGAGAAGGAACATTTATCTGAGGTCCAGCAGTTCCCTCTATTGCTCCGCCTTCAGTCACATAGAAGAGATAAAGCAGTAGCTGAAGGGAAGTAGGGCTTGGTCAGCTGTGTGTGTTTGGGACTTTTTTTGTAACAATCTTCATCACACTCCTGGTTTCGGTCCATTTCTAATAGGGACCACCCGAATCCCACCCCTTCCTTCAACGGCCAAAAGGAGATAAGCATTTCCGTAGCTCAAACAATACCGTGTGCTGGGAAAACAATGTCAGCCAATGAAGCTGTGGCTGTTATATTTACTTACCCCCAGCCACAGACACACTTTATCGGTAGGAGGAACCGAAGCTTTGCAGTACAGGTTATCTGCCAGTAAGAATCTGGTCTCCATTGAATTGGTTGATTCCTTAAAAAAAACAAACAGTACTATAAGCAGGCGAGTTTAATATCAAGGTCATAAAGGAGAGAGCTCACAGATGAATCTAAGCCATTTAAAACAGTACCATTATGTGCCCGGCCGGTGTGGCTCAGTGGTTGAGCATCAACCTATGAACCAGTAGGTTACGGTTCGATTTCTAGTCAGGGCACATGACCGGGTTGCAGGCTCGCTTCCTAGCAGGGGGCATGCAGGAGGCAGCCGATCAATGATTCTCTCAAACCATATTCCACAGAGATGATTCAGAGGTTCCACATTCTATCTCTCCCTCTCCCTTCATCTCTGAAATTAATAAAAATATTTTAAAAATAAAAATGAATGAAAAATTCATTTTTAATAAAAAATAGCATTTTAAATAAAAATTATCATTTTTAATAAAAATTAATTTTAATAAAAATTAGCACCATCATGCAAGCTAAGTATAGTGGTAAAAGAAGTAAATGCTTAGAGCCAGATGGCTGGACATGGACTCTGGTTCAACTGCGTACTACCTGTGTAAATTCGGCATATTACCTAACCTCTGTGTCTCGGGTTCCTCATGTGTAAAATATGGATAATAGTCCCCACACATATGAAGGATATCACAAGCACAGCGTGCGTGCGAACACACACACACACACACACACACACACACACACACATACACACCAGTGCCAGGTACAGGGTAGGTACACAAGGGTTAGCTATTATTCTTAATCAGTGCTTTATGCCCAACCAACCAGTTCTGAAATCTTACCAAGTTCACCGACATCCAGTAATGTACTGGAAATGCAGTTATTCTACCAGTCAAGTAATAAATCATAGAACCTTTTAATACAACATCCCTCTGAAATTTAATTTTTACAGATTTCTTTTATTTAATGAGTACTGGATTAAGACTCTGACTAGCTATGTGGCACTGGGTAAGAACTTCTCTGTAGCTGTATGCTCAGCTGTGAAACGAGAATCTGGAACATACATTTTAAGATTCTTTCCAGCTCTAGAAGTCGTGGACTCCCTCCTTATTCTCGGGGAGAATGGTAACAACAACAAAAAACCTTCGATGCTGCTACTGCAAAATAAGACGTCTTCTTTTTGTATCTACAATAATTTCAAGTTGCATTTAAATTTGGCAACTATACACAGAAATAAAATAATCCAAGCATGGGCCCTAGAATTAAACCTGGTTCGGGGGAGGAAGCACACTGTCCACACATCAGTACACGTGGTCGAGAAGGCTGACTGGAGTCCCAGCGCAGATCAAGTACCAGTGAGCAGAGTCAAGAAAGATGCATCTCTGAAGTATCCTGGTCCCCTCACAATTATAAACAAAAATGCACTTACTTTTTTCTTCTGCATGTATTTCAGAATTTCTAAAGTCTGCTTAATTTCAGGAATCTGGCCCTTTAGCCTGTGAATAAGAAAAAAGGTTAACCTAGGACTTTGTAGCAAGAATAAACACCAGGACACAGTCTTACAAGCTTTGCCTGTCCTGTTGATATGTTCTTGAGGACTATTTACAAATATAAAATATTTCAGATATTTCACAAGGTTTATCAGAATATTTAAGATATAAATATTTATGAACATATTTAGATACGATAACAGTATTTCTAGAATTACCTATGGTACACAAAGCCCCGTCTATCCGACATCACATCATGATTAAACATTTCAAGAGCAAACCATATTCCAGAGATGATTCAGAAGTTCCACATTTGATCAAAACTGCATTTTAAATGGATTAATTTTTAATATTATATAACGTGCATTCAAATATTATATTCTGAATTTGAAACCACTGTAAACCAGCAGCTCGCCGGCTGCTCCTGGCACAGACAAATGCATCACAGTCAGCCAAATGCCAGCCAAGGACCCTGGCAGCGTCTCAGGGCATACACTTGTCACACTGTGAGAAATGTACATCACCTGACTGTGCACACACCACATTATGACTCTTTTAAGCTTTGGGTAATTTTTTCTTGATAAATGCTTTAAGTTGATAAATACTTTTTAAAGTTATAAATGGGTCATTTGTTTAAAGACAGAAATTTTAAAAAATGATGATAGGCATGATGAATTTGATCACATACAACAGGTTAAGTTACATCAATAGCTACCAGCAATACTACTAGCCTAGAACTACAGCCACACACAAAAATGCATCTATCAATAGACACAGGCTTTATATACGCTTCACAGAAAGTATGTCAGAATAACTCACAGACCTAAATGTTAGTTAGGTGTATTCATTTGTAAAATAGCTAACACACACACAACATAAGTATTGTATGTTCAGATCAAGTTTTTTGCCATGCAGATTATTTCTATGATATATTTTTGTATGTACAAATTGTATGTAATACAGAAATTAGGAAGCACATTAATGAAGCAAGCAGCTGCAGCCCCAGCCAACTTAGGAACCGGAATGCCGAGCCACTGGGCATGTCCAAGCACTGCATACCCCCACACCTTTCCCCATTCCCAGAGACAGCAGCTCCCCGGAACTGTGTGTTCAGTCACTTATCCTTTTTCCAATCGCTCCGTCACATACATATTTCTTAGCCCGATAAAAACAATCTCCTGCACTTTAGGGGGTTTACTTTTTAACCGCATTTAGTTTCCTAGGACTTGTTCATTCATTTTCACTGCTGTGTAATATCCAATTATGAATACAAAACAATTTATCTAATCTCCTGGAAAAAGAAGAATTGGGTCAGTTTTTGGCCTTTGTTATTATTTGAACAGTGGAGGTCTCTAGTCTTGGGAGTAGGTAGGGAAGTGAAGTAGCTTAGAAAGGAAGTGGACCAAGTCTCCAATGGGGGAGTAGGCTAAGAAAGAACGTTCTCCTTCTAAATTGCCCTGGGTGGATCACTATACCCCCGCATAACTGTTACAGGGTAGAAAAACAGTAGAATTGGCCAGGGACAGGAGGAGCTGGGAAGATGAGTACCAGTATGTACCGGCCTCAGCAGTCTCCACTCCCTACTCCCACACCCAGGGTGATGTCAGTGAAGAAAGCCAAGAAAAAGAGAATTCCTGTAAGCCACGTTACTTGGTTAGGGAGGCAGCATGTCTCCAGCCACGCCCTATATCTTAACGCCAGCAGTATTCTTCCTACCCCTCCAAACCAGGATGGACTTACATGACTCCCGCCCCCACATACGTTACTGGCAAAAGTAACTAATATCCCTGAGAGAATATGAGCTGACAGGGAAAAGAAATGGTAATCTGATCAACTCAACTGTAATTAAATAAAGAAAATAAACTCAACAACCTCTATCAGATGAAACAAAATTAAATACTAAAAGATAACATTATACAGTAAGTATTAAAAGTACCTCAAAGAGAAAAGACAGGATATTGGTCATATGAAGAAGAAACAAGCAGATACAATAAGAACCAACCAAAACGACTAGTTATAGAAAATCTAATAATGGTGGAAATAAAGGACTCACAGATATCCGCCTAATTGCCAAAAGACAAATGAAATACAAAGTCAGCAGAAGAGAAGAGATGATAAAAAGAAATGAAAAGCAGAATTGGAAGTGTCAACATCCATATTAACAGGCATTCCCAGGAGAGAAGGAAAAAATTTAACAGATGATAGAAAAAAAAAGACTTTCAATTGACAATCACAAATTTTCCAGTTAAAGAAAAATAAAAGGCATGTGATTCACGTATTAAAGAGATCGCCATAAGAGAATTATGAAGCACTATAGAAATTTTACATAGCTGAAGGTAAAGTTAAATAACAGACTACAAGGAAAGATCTGCACCGTATGTAAAGAAAAAGGTTAGTATTCAAGCTACATAGAGCTACCTGCTGCAAAAACACATAGCTGACATCACCGAGGTGAGGGGAATTCCAGAAAAAAAAATAAAAGGACCTGGCTGGTGTTGAATGGCTCAGTGGTTGAATATTGTCAACCTATGAACCAGGTCACAGTGTCAGGCCACATGCCCAGGTTTTGTGGGCTCAATCCCCAGTGGGTGCATGCAGCAGGCAGCCAATCAATGACTCTCTCTCACCACTGATGTTACTATCAATTTCTCTCCCTCTTCCTTCCTCCTTCTGAAATCAAGAAAAACATATTTTAAAAAATAAAATGAAAGGGAAAAAAACTAGAAAAGGCTTTGAGTTGAGCAGTGAGAAGACAGGCGAAAAGTAGGCATCATAAGGCAGGTGCCAATACCAGCTACAGACCTGAGCTGAGCCCCTGACTTACTTAAGAACTTGGAATAGCACTCAAGTGGTTCAAGGCTGGTATAGAGTCACAGGTCCAGGCAAAAGCAACATCCTCTATGAATAAAGGCAAGCCCCAGAGGTATACATACAGCAGTTAGAGGAAGCTGACATACACAGTTGGCCCCTGAATAGACTTTTGAACTGTGTAGGTCCACTTACACATGGATTTTTAAAATAAATACTGAATATATACTTTCTCTTCCTTATGATTTTAACATTTTCTTTTCTCTAGCTTACTTTATTGTACAAATACAGTATACACTGAGTGGCCAGATTATTATGATCTCTGAACACATAATAACCTGTCCACTCAGTGTATATCCTATATAATAAAAGGCTAATATGTAAATTGTCCCCTCGACCAGGAGTTCAACCAGCAGGCAGGCCTGCCAACCGCCCATGTCCCCTCCCCCTGGCCAGGCTGGCCAGACCCCACCCATGCACTGGGCCTCTAATACACACATACACACACACACACATTGAGTGGCCAGATTATTATGCGTTCAGAGATCATAATACTCTGGCCACTCAGTGTATAATACAATAATATACAAAACACAAAACATATGCTAATACACCACGTATAGGTAATGCTTCCAGTCAACAGTAGGCTATTAATAGTCAATAAGCAAATTTCTGACTGCAGGGAGGGAGAGGGTGGACACCCCTAACCCCTGCATTGCTCAAGGGTCAAATGTAGTTAGTTAAGAAGTTAAGAAAGCTATCCACACATAGACAAATTATAATGAAGATGACCCTGAAAGTATCTAAAAACAATAATTTGTTTGCATAAAAAGACAGGCTGAATATAATAACAATAAACCATACGTTGTTTACATAGAAAACCCTTAACTATAAGTCATAAAAAAGGTTGAAAATAAAGGGATTGGGAAAGATACACCAAGTCATATTAGCCAGAAAAAAGCTGGGGTAGCTGTAAGTATCTAACAAAACAGATTTTAACACAATCAGCATAATTTTAACTATGCTTAAATGAAATTTATATAGGCTTAAATTCACCAAGATGACATAATTCTCAGATTGCATGCACCTAATAAAATAGGGTAGAAAGTTTTTCTTTTAAAGAATAGAAATATTTCAGGTTAAGATGGTAACAGAGCAGCGCTCCCGCCTCTAACCGCTCAAAGAGCCAGAGATCGCCATAAGAGAATTATGAAGCACTATAGAAATTTTACATAGCTGAAGGTAAAGTTTTGTGGGAAGGCAGCAGAGAGTTTCCGGAGTGACAGAAACTACAGGGCTAAGACTCCTGCAAGGGAAGAGACTGAGAGGTAAACTGATTTCCTGCAGCCCCTTTTCCCAAGCAGTACATGAGGGGGTGCTTCTTGTTATAGAAGTACGCCAGCTTATTAATAAATAAAAAAGAATGAACTGAATTAGAACATCATCTTCTTGCAATTCATAATAAATGGACCTAGTCATTTGAGTATCATAAAAAGGGTCAACTAAATACTATGTCTCTTAATGGAAGAACAATAAATAAACTTATGAAGCAATGTTGCCAAAAAAAAAAAAAAAAACCACACCTTAATACGATCAAGACAGTAGATCCAACTACCAATTTATTGTAAGTGGAAAAAACAAAGAAACATGTTTGAAAATCCCACAATTGCTTTGAAATTTAGCACAACACACTTCTGAATAACTGGATTATAGATCTAAATGTGAGTGAGAAATCAATAAAGCTTTAAGAATAAAGCATTAAGAGAATATCTTCACGGACTTGGAAGAGACCAATATTTCTTAAACAGGATATAAAAAGCACTAACCACTAAGGAAGAAGATTGCTAAACAGAACTTTAATAAAAGGTATTTAGATCAGAGCTGGAACTTGAAAAAAAAACAAAACAAAAACACGTCAACTTTTTTAAAGTTTAAGTCAAATACGATTAACTTTTTTGAAAACTTGGAGATTTCTATGCTTACCTCCTTTTCTTTTGAGCAAGGTTGAGTTCCATAAACTTATACTTCTGATACTGTTCATCCAACTTCTTCAGCACTGTGTCCGCAGTCTCGTTCCCCGGCTGTTTCATGTAGGAATCCACATCTTCCTTTAATATCAAAAATAATACATTTCAAATTTTAAGCCCAGCCAGCATGGCTCAGTGGGTGGCACAGACCTATGAGCCAGGTCACAGTTTGATTCCCGGGGTTGCATGCTCCATCCCCTGTAGGGAGGAGGCAGAATCATTGATGTTTCTATGTCTCCCTCTCCCTTCCTCTCTGAAATCAATAAAAATACGTTTTTTAAATTTGGAATTTGCATGCCTAATCTGATTTTTTACTTCTTAGCTCTATTTTTAAAACATAAAAGAAGCCCTAGCTGATTTGGCTCAGTGGATAGAGCGTCGGCCTGCGGACTGGAGGGTCCCAGGTTCGATTCCAGCCAAGGGCACATGGCTGGGTTGTAGGCTTTATCCCCAGTAAGGGGCGTGCAGGAGGCAGCCAATCAATGATTCTCTCTTATCATTGATGTTTCTCTTTTCCTCTCCCTTCCTCTCTGAAATCAATAAAGATATATATTTTTAAAAAACATAAAAGGAATGCTTGTGTTTTTCTCCCAAGGCTTATTTTTTTGTTAATCCTCACCCAAGGATATTTTTTCCATTGATTTTTATTTCGAGAGAAAGAGAAACATCGATGTGAGAGACACACCCGTTGGCTGCCTCCTGCACATGGCCTGGGGCCGGTGATCAAACCTTTCAGTCCGGGGCCAAGGCTCTAACCACTGGGAAACCAGCTCGGGCATCCCAAGGCTTGTTTTTAACTGAAGTGGTCATTTTAAAAGGTTAGACCATTTCAGAAAGTGCACACACATTTTGTTTTTGTTTTATTTTGTTGTTGTTAATCCTCACCTGAAGATACTTCTCTATTAATTTTTCAGAGAGATTGAAAGGGAGGAAAGGAGGGAAGAAGAGAGAGAAAAGAGAGAAACATGGACATGAGAGATATTAATACATCCATTGACTGCCACTGGCATGTGCCCGATGGATCTGGGGACTGAGGGCTGGGGATCGAGCCTGCAACTCAGGTACATACCCTTGACCAGGAATCAAACCCTTGGCCCTTTGGTCCACAGGCCCATGCTCTAACTGCTGAACCATACTGGCCAGGGCAGTGTACATACACTTTGTAGCTAATTTACTCTTCCTCCACTTCCTCTTTTCATTTTTACTTATGCATAAGGAAAGAATGATGACCTTGTCGCCTTTATGCATCCTCCCTGAGATCTTAGTAGTAAATATTATATAAAAATTAGCAACAAACACATTGCCGGTCATGTGCCCTGGCCACAAAATAATTCAACAGATTTGAATGCCAAGATTATTGACTTTATTACTTAAATTTTTAACTCGAAAGTTCTACCATAGAAAAAAAATGCTACATGTGGGCATTAGGTTCCCAAGGCAAGCCACAATACCTCTGTAAGAATCAAGTGTCTGAAATAAAATAAACCCAAAAGGCAATCAGAACAATCTTTTGTACAGGAATAAGTAAGCCCAACAGAACCAGTAAAACCAAACAGCATTTTATTTATTTTTTTAAAATATATTTTATTGATTTTTCACAGAAAGGAAGAGAAAGGGATAGTCAGAAACATTGATGAGAGAGAATCATCAATCAGCTGCCTCTTGCACACCCCCCACTGGGGATGTGCCCACAACCAAGGTACATGCCCTTGACCAGAATCGAACCTGGGACCTTTCAGTCCGCAGGCCGATGCTCTATCCACTGAGCCAAACCATCTTCGGCCCAAACAGCATTTTAAAAATGTACCCTACATGCTGATCCTTCATTGTAAGTAAGTTAAATCCGATAATCTATGGTCTCTGGCATCTCTACATCATTATTCTTTTTTTTTCCAATAAATATCTTTATTGATTCAGAGAGGAAGAGAGGAGAGAGATAGAAACATTAATGATGACAAGAGAATCATTGATCGACTGCCTCCTGCACGCCCCCCCCACTGGGGATGGAGCCTGCAACCCAGGCATGTGCCCTTGGCCGGAATCGAACCCGGGACCCTTCAGTCCCCAGACCAATGCTCTACCCACTGAGCCAAGCCGGCCAGGGCTCTACATCATTATTCTTACCCGCGCTTATTAACCACAGGGGAATATTTTAGCCAAAACAAAGCAAGAAGAAAAAGGAAGAGGAACACAGCAGTGGAGTGAACTATGAAACTATCACACTAATGATGCAGTAGAAGAAATCGAAAAGGTGACGCTGAGGCGATGATTGAGTTGCGCATGTAAAATGGCAGTATCATCTTCCTAGAAGAGTCGCTGCAGGAAAGAGAAATAAGTCAGTTTCTAGGACATGGACGTTTCTGAGGAGCTTAGAGTCTAGCAAGGAGAATTAACCATACCAACATAAGACTTGGCTAAAAGATGGCATGTGCCCAGCCGGTATGGCTCAGTGGTTCCATTCCTGGTCAGGGCACATGCCCAGGTTGTGCGCTCGATCCCCAATAGGGGGTGTGCAGGAGACAGCCAATCAGTGATTCTCATCACTGATGTTTCTAATCTCTCTCCCTCTCCCCTTCCTCTCTCAAATCAATACACACACACACACACACACACACACACACACACACACACACACCATATTTGTCTTATATGATTTCCAAAAGATCACTATCAGATACAACACTTATTACATCCAGGAGTAAACAGCAATTGGGAACAAGAGGCAGGATTCAAACTCTGGTCTATTTAGAAGCCAGTGTTCCCCCTATAATAAATACCGTGCTACTGCCATTAATTCAGGAACGTAAAAATACATTACATAAAATGTGGATGGCTTATTATATCATGTTGGTAGAAATTTTAACTCTTAAAAAAACTATTTTAACGAAACCGGTTTGGCTCAGTGGATAGAGCTTCGGCCTGCGGACTGAAAGGTCCCAGGTTCAATTCCGGTCAAGGGCATGTGCCTTGGTTGCGGGCACATTCCCAGTAGGGGGGGGTGCAGGAGGCAGCTGATCGATGATTCTCTCTCATCGATGTTTCTAACTCTCTATCCTTCTCTCTCCCTCTCTGTAAAAAAATCAATAAAATATATCTTTTTTAAAAAAGCCCTCAGATAGTTTACCTTCCTGAAATAGATTTGTAAAGTCAACTATAACTGAGCACATTGATGTCGTATGTAAGGCTCTATGAAAATGCAATGTGACCTTTAGTTATGAGTTTGTACTATGTGTCAGGCACTGTGCTAAGACCAGGAGAAAATGCCAGGGAGCAAGATAAATACCCCCTTGTCTCCCAAGGGGGTAAGTAGAGGCTCTGGAGGCCCACAGGTTGCCCAAGTTCAAATCCTGTGTGGCTTGGGGCACGTTACTCAAGGATTCTGTGCCTCAGTTTCATCATCTACAAAATGGGCATGATCACAGCACCACCTTCTCCAGAGTTATGTAAAAGCATTAGGAAAATGCCTGGCACTCCACACAGGTTACCTCTAGTTACGTGTGTGTGTGTGTGTGTGTGTGTGTGTGTGTGTGTGTATTGATTTGAGAGAGGAAGGGGAGAGGGAGAGAGAGAGATTAGAAACATCAGTGATTAGCTGGGAGATAGGTGTAATGAAATAAATGGCACATCTCAGGGAGAGAGAAAGCAAAATAATTGAAGAGAATAACTACAAAATTGAATCAGCAGACACAAATATGCAACATACAGTGTATATAAAAGTAATTCAAATAAAAGAAACTAGTCTTTTGGAGATGTAAGAAATGATTACCAAAAAGATGAGAGACAAGGCAATAAAAGATACAATCCAAAAGGTCGAGAAAATTCCATTAAGACTTTATTTATACCTGGTGGAGGGGGGAAGAAATTTGGAACCTTTGTAATAATATGAACAATAAAGATTGATTTAAAAAAAAAAAAAAGACTTTACTTATAGTAGCTTAACCAGAACTGAGTGGGAAAAGACATAACACCAGTCAGGTTTTCTCTCATTATTCCAACAGTTTTAAATACTATTTCTAGAACAGCCCGATGGAAGAACAAGATTGAACCATCTACTTTTCCCTCTTTGTTTGGACTTTGTTTGGACTAGCTGGATTGCTCAGTGGGTAGAGCATCCGCCTGGGGTCTGAAGGGTCCTGGCTTCGATTCTGAACCCAGCATCTACTTTTTCCTCCTCGTTTTGTGAAGCCACCAAATTGCATCCCGTGGCCTCCTCTCTCACCTCCACACATTTGATTACTAAGTTGTTAGGATGATGTGCCCCGGACCAAATACGATTATAACGGGGCTTCCTTCGGAGGCCTCATGACAGCCCGCTGCCTACCGGATAGAGCCTGGGTTCCTTAGCATAGCACACAAGGACCTCGCATTCTCGCCCCGGCCTAATCTCCAAGGAGACGGGGCACTGCATCCCTTCAACAGACGGGGTGTCCTTCCCTATTTTCACACTTCAGACCAGAAGTCCTGCCTGCTCACTGCATCCCAGGTCACCATTTATCTGCCCGGCTCTCCCGCATCCAGGCTGAGACTCAAGCCTCCCTCTGCCCCCCTTTTCCAGGCAGCGGAGGATGAAACCCGGGGCCCGGGGGGGGGGGGGGGGGGATTAAGGGACCGCCCCGCTCCCAAATCTTCCCGCCCCAGGCCCCCATCTCCCCTCAGTCCTTCCGGGACTGCGTTTCCCCCCGCGGATCCCAGCCCGGCTTAGTCTACACGGGGCGGAGGGCAGGAGGGGATGCGGCGCGCTCTCCCGGACCCCTACCGCAGCTCCTTCCCCCCCCAGCCCAAACCGAAAACCGGAAGGGGCCGCGGCCTAGGACCAACATGTCTCTCACCACAAACACGGCCTCCGGAATCCCCAGGTGGAGCCGCCGCCCGTTCCCGGCAGCGAGTTCCAAGCCACAGGCATCTCTAGCCACCGCCATCTTGGGGAAGCTCGCGCGCGACTAAGAGCTTCTGGAGCCACCGGCCGCCGAGGGCCCGTGATTGGCTCGCTCGCAACGCCAAGGCCCGCCCCTCCCTCGCGAGAACGCGCATTGGCGGACAAGCAGGAAGTAGCCGCCCCTGCGCCGAGCGGCCCGACCTCTGCGTGCTGATTGGTTGCGCGCATGTGAGTGACAGGTGTGGGAGGGCCTCGCGGGGGGAAGCTGGCTTCGTGGGAAGAACCAATGGGGACTCCTGGGAAAAGGAACCTTGGGGATTTGGGCGAGTGGGGCGGGGAGCGGGGCTGGAGGAGCCTGGAAATCAGGGACGAAATCGGACCCCATTCCCACCCCAGAGCCGGCAGATCCCTCCAGAATCCCAGAGCCGGAAGACCCCTCCAGAGTGGCCTTCACAGCGACCTGATCCCCTCTCGGATGCAAGCGAAACTAGGACCTAGGACTTAAGGTGACCAGACGTCCCGCTTTTGGCGGGACAGTCCCGCTTTTTGTCCCCATCTTTCAAAAATCGGGACTGTCCCGCCAAAAGCGGGACCTCTGGTCACCTTAACCTAGGTGCCACCACAGGGCTTCATGGGTGCCTTTCTGGTCCCACCATAGCAGCGAGCTTGCCCACCCTTGAAGGGGACTTAGAATCCATCACACCAATCTTTCCTGAAAGCCAACTTGGATCAGAATCTCGCGACCGCAGCTCAAACATTTTCAAAAGTTCATAGTCTTGCCCTAGCTGCGTTGCTCAGCAGGTAGTGCATCCGCCTGTGGACTGAAGGGACCCAGTTTCGATTCTGGTCAAGGGCACATGCCCAGTTGCGGGCTGGATCACCAGTGTGGGGCGTGCAGGAGGGCAGCCGGTCAATGATTCCCTCTCATCCTTGATGTTTCTATCTCTCCTCTCTCCTTTCCTCTCTGAGATCAATAAAAGTATGGCGTGTGTTTTTTTAAAGTTCATAGTCTACATACACAATGTTTGTTCCTGTCTTTGCTTGAACTGGAGTGCCAGCCAGTGAAATGGTGCCTCGCCCCCTCCCAAGAAGCCTACCATGAGCCAGGCCCTTTATGAATAAAGGCTAAATGTCAGCTTCCTTCCTTAGTGGGGACACATAGTAATAAGTGATTAACATTTATATAAAAACTAACTACATGCTAGACACTAAGTAGTGTTATTTCATCCCTATAGCTCAGTATGAGGGACTGCTATATCCCCTAGTTTACAGACAAGTAAAGGGCCTTAAAAGTGAACCATTTGGCCAAGACCGGTTTGGCTCAGTGGGTAGAGCGTCAGCCTGAGGACCCAAGGATCCCAGGTTCGATTCCGATCAAGGGGACCCCCAGTAGGGGGTGTGCAGGAGGCAACTGGTTGATGTTTCGCTCTCATTGATGTTTCTGACTCTCTATCCCTCTGTCTTCCTCTCTATAAAAAAATCAATAAAATATATATATTTTTAAAATAATAAAAAAAAATAAAGTGAACCATTTGTAAGAGAATAGGATATTGTAATAGTCACATACCTGGTAGGAAGGGAGCACAAGTGGAAGACACTGCCTAAATTGTATTTTAAAATGAGAATAACAATGCCTGGCTGGTGTGGCTCAGTGGTTGAGGTTTGTCCTATGAACCAGGTCGCTGGTTTGATTCCCAGTCAGGGCAGATGCCCGGTTGCAGGCTTGATCCTCAGTAGGAGGCGTGCAGGAGGCAGATGATCAGTGATGTTACTCACAATTGATGTTTCTAACACTCTCCCTTCCTCTCTGAAATCAGTACACACACACACACACACACACACACACACACACACACAGAGATACCTTTAAAAGAAGCATAGTGAGAATAGTATGTCAGCTCTTAGGAATGGAGAGAAGGAAGGAGTAATTAAATAGATGTAAAGGGTAAAAAGTAGGAGGTGGGTGCATGGGACAGACTAAGTCAGAGACGGGAAAACAAGCTACTGCTGCCAGAACTGTAAGAAATGTTCAAGAAGGTGTCTGTGTCAGGTTTTGTCCTTCTAACAAACTCAGGAATCTGTTCAGGAAAGGGTGTGGACTGGATACTGGGAAATGTGTGGACCTAGAGGAGTAAGGAACATGGGAGAGGTTTTAGACTGGAAAAAAAAAGGGGGGGGGGGAGAAACTAGAGGACTGAACATAGGGGGTGGGACTAGAGGACTGGGAGGCGGGGTGTGAGCTGGAAATATGAGTGATGTGAAAGAGTGAAGAAATTGGGCGGGGCAGTAGGACTAGTTGCCCGGTGAGCGAAATTCATGCATGAAAGGGAAGGGGGTGTCCCTCAGCCCAGCCTGAACCCTCTCCAATCTGGGACCCCTCAGGGGATGGCCGACTGCTGGGGGATGTCCCTGTGGGATCGGGCCTACACCAGCAGTAGGATATTCCTCACAATTCGGGACTGCTGGCTCTTAACGGCTCACCTGCCTGCCTGTCTGATAGCCCCTAACCACTCTGCATGCTGGCCTGCTCACCCCCAGTTGGCCCCTCACCAGCCTTCTCACCCCCAACTGCCCCCCTTTGCTGGCCTGATCGCCCCCAACTGCTCCCTGGCCGGCCTCATGGTCCCCACCTGCCCCCCCCTGCTGGCCTCATGGCCTCCTACTGTTCCTCTGCTGCCGGCCTGATCACGCTATCTGCTCCCCTGCCAGCCAGCTAACCCCAAATTGCCCCCCCCCCCGCCAGCCTGTTTGCCCCTTCAGCCCAGCATGTGCCCTCTCGCAGTCCAGGAGCCTTTGGGGGATGTCCGACTGACAGCTTAGTCCCGCTCCCCCACCCCGGGGAGCAGGCCTAAGCCATCAGTGGGATATCCTTAGTGCTGCAGAAGAGGCTCCTGCCACCACCACTGTACTTGCCAGTCATCAGCCCAGCTTGAGACTAAGAAGCACTCCCCCTGTGGGAGCGCAATGACCACAAGGGGGCACCTCCAGCCCTGCACTCCCATCATCCCTCCACCACCACAGGGAGCTGTCCTCCCTGGATCGCTGTCCCCTCCCTCTGCCTGCTGGCACCCACCTTGGCTGGCCTGGTGCCGCCCACTTGTGGGACCCACCCCCTCGCTAACGAGTCATTCCACTGTTCAGTCGATTTGCATATTAGGCTTTTATTACATAGGATTGGTTGATTCTTGTATGTGCCCTGACTGACTGGGGGTTGAACCTGCAACCCTAGCACAATGGGACAATGCTCCAACCAACTGAGCTACCTGGCAAGGGTAGCAGTTTTAATTTTATTTTTCATTTTTAGATATATTTTTTATTGTTGATAGTATTACAGATATCTCCCATTTTCCCTCCCTTCCCCCTCCTACCCATCCCTCAGGCCTTCAGCACCCTGTTGCCCATGTCCATGGGCTATGCGTATTTGGTTTATCTCTTCTCGTTCCCCCAACCCCTCGTCAAGGTACATCAGTCTGTTCCATGCCTCCCTGCTTTGGGTCCTATTTTGCTGGTCAATTCATTTTGTTCATTACATTCCATAAATAAGGGAGATCTTGTGATATTTGTCTTTCTCAGTTTGGCTTATTTTATTTAGCATAATATTTTCCAGGTCCATCTATGCTGTGGCAGTTTTAATTTTATACAAACACCTACTATATGACCCAGCCATTCTGCTCCTAGGTATCTATCCAAGAGATAAATCCACAATTGTCCACAAAAAATGACTCGTTCAAGAATGTTTCCAGCCCTAGCCAGTTTGGCTCAGTGGGTAGAGCGTCAGCCTAAGGACTGAAGGGCCCCAGTTTCCGGTTGAGGGCATATGCCTGGGTTGTGGGCTCGAACCCCAGTAGGAGGCGTACAGGAGGGAGTCAATCAATGATTCATCATTGATGTTTCTATCTCTCTCTCCCTCTTCCCTTCTCTATGAAATCAATAAAATATATATATATTAAAAATGTTTTCAGGCACATGAAAACATGCTCAAAGTCACTAATTATACGAGAGATGCAAATCAAAACAACAATGCGGTACCATCTCACACCTGTCAGAATGGCCAACATCAACAAATCGACAAATGACAAGTGTTGGCGAGGTTGCGGAGAAAAAGGAACCCTCGTGCACTGCTGGTGGGAATGCAGACTGGTGCAACCACTGTGGAGAACAGTGTGGAGTTTCCTCAAAAAACTGAAAATGGAACTCCCATTTGACCCAGTAATCCCACTCCTAGGAATATATCCCAAGAAACTAGAAACACCAATCAGAAAGGATATATGCACCCCCATGTTCATAGCAGCACAATCTACAATAGCCAGAATTTGGAAACAGCCTAGGTGCCCGTCAGCAGATGATTGGATCCAAAAACTATGGTACATCTACACAATGGAATACTATGCTGCCATAAAGAAGAAGGAATTCTCATCATTTGCAGCAACCTGGATAGAATTGGAGAACATCATGCTGAGTGAAATAAGCCAATCAATGAAAGAGAAACACCACATGACCTCACTCATTTGTGGATAATAAAGAGCATTATAAACTGATGAACCAAAAGATAGATATAGAGACAGTAAAGCAACAAGCAGATTGTCAAATTACAGCGGGGAGGGGAGGAGGATCTAGGGGAGATAATAGATCAACCAAAGGACTTGTATACATGCATATAAGTACAACCAATGGACATAAAACTATGGGGAGGGAGGGGGGCAAAAAAATCATTAAAATATGTAAAATAAATTAATTAATTAATTAAAAAAATAAAATAAAATAAAATACATTATTTAAAAAAATGTTTTCAGAGCTTATATGTGTACATCAATTTAAAATTTATTTTTAAAATAATGAGTATGAATAAATATAATTTCACAGAAACAAACATTACATTTATCACCAGCATAAATAAAGTAAATAAATTTCTAAAAGATGTTAAGGAGAGGGAAATTATTCCAATGCAAGAAGGGATAGTAAACAACAAATTCTAAACCCATAGCTAAATCTAAACAAAAAACGATTTATATAAATATTAATATTCTTAACTTAAGAAGTGTAAAATATTTGACCACCCAACC